CTGCATTGTTCATCCCACATATTAAATGTCACTTGCTAAGTGTGCATGCAGCATCAAATTTTGTCTGTAGCACAGGATTGTTTGGAATAGCCAAACATTTTTGTCTGGTTGCATTGTTATTGCATATTCCCAGTTTGACCAAGGAAGCCAACATTGTTGATTTATTGCCCTTCTGAACAATGTTGGATACCAGGATCTGTAGTTGAATCCAGGCTACCCAGTCTCTTTAAGTGCCAAAAATGTGCTTAATTCATTGTCACCCTCAAAACAGTGTTGTCATGGTTATGTAGCTGTTTGCACACTGGGAACAAAGTTGATAGACACTGGGCCTTGTGCCTTCACATTGTCTGGCTGGGGGTAAAAGTCCTTGTCCTTGAACATACATAAACGCTTTTCATCGATCTGCCCAGCACAGCATATCACGTGTTTTTCTTCTTCCTATTCCTTCTGTAGTGACTTTGGGACTGGAGTTACTTTCAGAGTGTTCAGACACTGTGTCTGTTCTGTTCAGGCATCTGGGGAAGGAGCAGTTTTGGTGCCCCCAGAGGAGTGGCCTTGGTTCAGAGCCTCCTGCTGCCTCTCTTGGCATTCATGCTGGTTGGTGACAAAGCCCACGTTATCAGGGGAGGTGGCACTGAGGTGTGGCTGCAGAAAGAAAAAAAAGAATGAGGTCCAATAGCAGAAAGAGTAAGAAGTGCTCTGTAGACATTGGCAATGCTGTTGGAGAGAAGCATCTCCTTCCCTGCTTTTTCTGATGGCCACTTTCACAGGTCAGTGTCATTAGCTGGGACTCACCTGCTTCTCACTCTTTGGGTAAGTATTATTTTAGGAGGATTAACCTGAATCCTAGCGTGTTCCTAATGTAGTTATGAAATGTGTTTATGTGCTGTCATTTCTTATGCATGTTTGTCAAGCTTCCTGCATGTCTAGCTTGTGATCCAGGGGGAAACACAACTATGAATGCTGCAAGCTGACTTTGGTGAAAGCATGTTTCTTTTATCAGTTATGTTCTACTGATGCCAACATACCAAACTTAAGAAATGCACCCTATTTAATTACAGCAAAGTCATGTCCCAGCAAGGCTTTATCTAATAAGTGTAATTTGTGGTTTTATTTTGAATGATTTCCCTAAATATTTTAGCAGTCTGAATGAAGAAGACACTGCTAAGTGACATTGACACGCTTTTCCTGTTTGGAGTTGTATTGTTCCTGTACTGTACATTTACTCTAATCATTGTAGCCTGACAAAGCTCAGCATGAATGGGAAACTGTGAGACAGAAATTATTTAGGCTGCAAAGACCAGCAGTCTTCTCACACAGATAAGTGTGAGATAAGTGGTGAAATTCAGTGTTAGCCACTAAACCAGTGTAATGGAGAGGTCATATATTAAGCCAGTTTGAAACAGTTCATTGTTTTTTAACTCCTGTGGTGGTTTGAAATTATGGGAAGAGCAAAGACTTGGAAAACCTTCAAAGCAAAGCTATACAGTGAAATTTTATGTTCTTTCTATTTCTGAATATTTATGTATCTGGTGAGAAGATTTAGGCAAGGAAATCTAAGTTTCTCTACAAGGTGTAAGATTGCAAAAAGAGCAGTTGAATGACACTGTGCTTTGACAGGTTTCTATTAACTTGGGAGATGGTGAGAAGGTTTTGCAACCAAATATTTCTGTTAGTAGGTTGAACACTAATGAGTCTGACAGGAATAATCTTTTGTCCCTGACCCACAGCTTTTGGTAATGCTGTGTGGTGTATTCACCCCATGCTGCAGACAGAAGCAGGTCTGGGGTACCTTTGCCACGTGCATTGTCTGTCACCACCCTTCCCTCCATTGAGTGTGCATGGCTTTCCCACAGCTGCTGGTGTGAGGAGAAGCTGCCTGCAGATCCCCATGGTAGGTGGGGCAAGGGTGACTTTCCTGAGGCTTCTGTGCTGCCGGTGTGTGACCTGTGGAAGCAGGGAGGATTTTGTTGGCAAAGACAGGCTGAGCCTTGGTGAGCTGTGTCCCTCCAGCAGCAGCTGCTGATAGTGGAGGGCACAGCGGTGCTTCCCTGCTGTGCTGTGCCTCAGCTGGGGCTCTGCCATCTGCTTGGTGTAAAAGGGCAGGACACAGGCAAGGCCATGGATGATCTGGCTTTTGACACACATTGCTCCTGCAAGCACCCAAGGGGACTGTTGTGAGCTGCCAGGAGGAATTTATGGATGAGCTGCTCCCCGTGGAGCTCACATTGCTGCTGCCTGGGTTGGGAGGCAAGGCTGCTTCTCACATGAAGTCTTCATGTCAGCTACTACTCAGCTCCAGCAACCAGAATTGCCTAATTGGGAGATTTTTCCACTGTTGTTCCATACTATGTCCTTGCAAAGCTATTTGGCAAAATATTTAATTGTCTAATTAATTTATGTAGTAATGTTCATGGGTAATGAAAGACTTAATATTGTAAGATACAGTTTCAAATTAAAGTACTTACTGAGGACATCCCAGAGTGCAGCCGTGGTTGTGTGTATATCAAGGTGCACATAATGATGCATTTTACTTCTCTGAATTACTGATCTATCTATTAGCAGCCTATTTATGTTACAGTTTGGGGCACATGAGGAAGAATGTCTGTGGCTTGCCAAGTGAGTCAATTCAGTGTTTATAATTTCTTGGTGATTTGCCAGGCAAACATCTGTGCCAAGTTTAGTTTCTCATGTGATCAGGAAGTGATACAGCAGGATGCACTGAGGACTTCCCCGGCTGTCTCCCCTCAGCACCCTGACAGGAATGTGGCAATTGTCTTGTGCTTTTAAGTAGAAATTTTCAAAGGCATGTAGAGCTAAATCTCAAATAGATGTCACTGACGTTCCCTTTGAAAGTCTGACGTTTTCCCTTTTCATTTCCTTTCAAGCTCAAATAATCACTTTTTAAAAGGAACTACCCAATGCCTGAGCATGTATCCTCCTATGAAAGTTTGCTTACAACATTTACTCCTATTGCTTCCCTCTGTGTGTATTAGTGTCGCTATTTAATTTCTCCTGGGATTATAGGTGTGGAATAAAATACTGAACTTGCTTTGCTGGGCCAAATTGGCATCCTAGCTTTGAAACAGCCCATGAGTGCTTGTGCACTATTGGAAATGGGAAGCATCAGCTTAAATGTAATTGCTGTTTAAAGTTTTGGATTCCTCTTACATGGTTTGGAAAGGAATAAGTGGGATCATTCAAGCTGACCTCAGCATGGAGAGCTCCTGTGAATTGTGAGTCTTTCTGCAAGTGTGATATGAGAGGGTTGGATATGTATATTGTTTAATTCTCAAACACTAAAAGTAGTTGCAATGAGTTGGTTCTTTTACACTGATGTGTGTACATATGCTCTTGTGGGAACCAGCCACCAGAAAATATTTTCCTGTAATAACCTAACTGTGATGTGGTTTTGAAAAATCACCTTTGTACTTCTTTTTTTCTGTTTTTTTTTTTAAAAAGGAGACTAGATGTGGTTTAATTTCTGTGTTTAATACATGTAGAAAATACTTTACATGTTATTTGCCATTGGAAATAATAAGAGGACTTCATTCACTTCTCAGACTTGGTTGGATGGTAAATTTTATAGGGTTTTTTTCTTAAACTTCTTTTTGTTCCTTTTATTGTGCATACATGTTTCTTAGCTTCTTTCAGAAATTATCTTTGGAATGGGACACTGTGTTTGGAGTAGAAGTTCTTTAAAAGGAAGAACACGGGCTTGACTTAGCAAGAGAAACATTGCAGGATGTTTTTTGCAAGAACATTTCTACCCATCTGCTGTTTGGTATTTTATGACAAGCAACTGTCACTTGGGCTCTTCAGGCTCTTGAGAATGTAGAGATTTTTTGCTTCTTGAAGCACGTCACCACTCTGTCAATAAATAAACAGTGGGTATACTCTGCTATATTTGAGCATTCCTGGGTTTGGCACTGATTTTGCTAGAGGACAGAAGCATGTCTGCTGCTGCAGATACTCTGTTTGATCCCATGTCAATCATGTATTTGCGTTTATAGGACTTTGTCTTCATTCCTACTCCTCTAGTACTTTTAGAGGTTCTTGATTTATCTCTACACTCTACCTGAGCTCTAAAATGTGAACAAATCTAACTTATTCCAGGCTGCAGAGAAGCTTTTCCTGGTGTTTTTTTACCCTGTTTGTCTGTGGAAGCAGAGAAATAATACATCTCAAAATAATGTATTCCCCATAATGAGTCTTACTGTGTTCTGGGTCAGCTGAATACTGAAATACAGGAACTGTGGATTAGCCTGCTGTCCATTAGCATTAGGAACATCTCCAGTTGCAGTAGCTGCTCATTAGAAATGCCTGCCAAAGAACTGAAACAGCCATTCTTCATTTATTCTTCCATGGCGCGTTTTTCCATTTCCTTCATTTTGTTTTCTTTCAGCTCCTTTATAAAATAAACCACCCCAAAATCTTGATGGATTTTTGATGGTTTTCTCCTTTTATTTAATGTCAGGGTAAATTAAAAAGAAACATTTAAATTTTGCTGCCATTTGCTGTTGGCTCCATTTGTTTTAATAAAGGCAGAGAAGCTGAAGTCTTTGTCACCAGGGCCCAGGGCAGAGCATGTCTGGAAATAAAAGATTCTGACCTAGTGTGTCTGAGACTCAACCAAAAGCACAAGTGAAAGTGAAGCTACCACAGCACATAAAGTTTGTCAGTGTTGTTGGGGAACAGCATCTGCCTGCTTTGGGCCCGCTGTGAACTTGGCCAGACAAAATAGGTGGAAGGGCAGAAGGTGAGGAATGTCTGCATCCTATCATGAATTGGAGGAAATGACTGTCTGCGTTCTGTGCGCTGGTGGGCTCCGCATCCTGCTGGCAGCCTGGCTAGCGCTGCAGGATGCTGCACAAGGAGGAGTGAATTTAGCTCTGGTGTTTAAAATAGCTCCTAGGGATGAGAAGAAGTGCTTCAAAAATATGCTGTGGGTTTTCTATTGGCGTTCTTAAACTAACTGGAAACTTTCTGCTTTCTTTCAGGAGCATTTTTTTACTCTGAAAACATTGCTGCTAAAAAACTCCAAACACGAGGAGTAAATCCACTCAGCTTGTCAGGTCACTGGCTCAGTGTAACGGTGCTTTCATGAGGTGACGTTGGGCCAAAGTCAACTTTTCTTTCTCCTTTGTAAACCTGCAGCCAAGCAATGGGCCAGAAAATCTCAGGGAGCATAAAGTCTGTGGATGTGAGGGAGCCCCCTTATAGACCCGTGAAACGAGAGCTGAGAGGCCCGGATTTCTGCAAGCCCGCGCGCCTGGACATGCTGTTGGATATGCCCCCTGCCAAGCTGGAGGTCCAGTACAAACACGCTTGGAATAACGAAGATCGCTCCTTAAATATATTCGTAAAGGAGGACGATAAACTGACTTTTCACAGACACCCGGTGGCCCAAAGCACAGATTGCATCCGGGGCAAGGTGGGCTACACGCGGGGCCTGCACGTGTGGCAGATCCACTGGCCCACGAGGCAGCGGGGGACTCACGCCGTGGTGGGCGTCTCCACGGCCGACGCGCCGCTGCACTCGGTGGGATACACGTCCTTGGTTGGTAGCAACAATGAATCCTGGGGCTGGGATCTGGGGCGCAACAAACTCTACCACAACTGTAAAAACCAGCCCGGGGTCACATACCCCGTCTTTTTGGAACCAGATGAGTCTTTTGTACTCCCAGACTCCTTACTGGTGGTTTTGGATATGGATGAAGGGACGCTTAGCTTCATGGTTGATGGACAGTATCTTGGAGTGGCCTTCAGAGGACTAAAAGGGAAAAAACTTTACCCCATAGTCAGTGCAGTTTGGGGGCACTGTGAAATTACAATGAGATACATCAACGGACTTGACCGTAAGTGTTACCGCGTTTGTTCATTACCCTCTCGCTTTTTCTCATGTAGGCGTTTTTCTTTCTCCTTCTGCTGTGGACAGTATGCTGGGGGGAGCACACGGTTCAGCTGTGAGGTGACTGCACCCCGTATTTACTGCCCACAATGAATATATCTCTGTGTCTTGTTATGATGGTATGGATTGTGTCAAAATACCCTCCTTTTTGACAGGCAGAGTGGCAAGAATTCTATCGCCAAAGAAACTGAACAGGCTGAGAAAAAGATATTGAGAAACTTCCTGGGTATATTTAACAGTAAAACTCCTGTTTACTGGAGGATATGTTTTAAATCTGTGGTTTCCAAATAGGATTTGTGGATCCCGTAAAAATTTCCTGTAGTAGTGGAAACTCTTACTTGGTGTGCATAAACATACTTGAAGACTGGCCAGACAACTTTCTTTCTGTAGTTGCCTTCTCAGAACCCTCAGAAGCAGCTGTGGATCCCCAAGAATCTGAAAACTCGGATCAAATACTGCTTTCAGCAGTTTTATGAAAGAGAGCTGTGTTCCTTAGTTCATTTCAGAAGGTAGTCTGTCTAGGTATTGTCCAGAAATCCAGGTTTTTGGATAAGCATGAGCTATTTCTCATCTAAGGGTAATGTCTAATGAAATTGTTGGGTAACAAGGAGGAGCATGTTGCTGCTGTGACCCCAAGCAATGACCCAGCAGCAGAAGGTGAGAGGCAGAAGTGGGTCCTGGCCAGTTCTCCATGCACAGGAGGGCGTGGGCTCTGCCAGGTCTGTGCCCAGTTCACACACAGGAGCATGTACTGACCCACAACTCCCTGAACTCAGCCAGCTTGCAGGCAGAGTGAGCAGGCTACTGGCACACAAAAACAGGAGCCAGAATTGCTGTTTGGATGATCTTTAGTCCACTTATTCCTTCAGGGTAGCTAAATTCAAAGAATATACTTGGAATAACACTTCTGTTTCCTTTGGGGATGTGACTAGAGATGTTAAAGGCAGGGGATCTGGTGCGTGGCAGGGGTCAGCAGCTGCTGATAGAGCCCAGGAAACCTCGCTGGTGGGGGCCAGATCCTGCAAGAAGGGGTGCTACTCCCTGTCAGCTTCTCAGCTGCTGGAAGCTGGGGAATAAAAGAATGGACAAGGTAGCAAGTGAAACTTAGCTCTTGTTTAAAACTGTACTATCTGAGGCATAGTAGGAGCTACAAATGTATATATATAAGAAAAAAATAGATGACTGGGCAACATTTTCATGTTGTTTTGGGCTCTTTGAATGGAACTTGATCTTTCATGAAGGCAGTAAAAGCAAATGTTCCACAGCTGCCTTTTAATTAATGATTTCTAAAAGAATTTACTGTCCTTTTCCATTAGGATGGAGTAGTCTAAATTTTTTTTATGTCAAAAATTAATTCTCTGCTCATTAACCTTCTATCTGACATACCAAGTAGAAACAAAATTAAATAATTCAACCCTGCTCAAGATTACCTTTTCTAAACATCTCTAATAAGCTCTGGGGGAAAGACTTTATCTGCAGAAGCCCTGCAGGTTTTACAGCTGGATGCTAAATGGCAGCTTCCCAAGTGCTTTCATACAGGGGAATATCCATGGATCTTAAGTATTTTGCAATTGCTCAGTCATTGCAGAATGATGTGCTGACAGTCTTTTCTTGGATTGTGGGGGAGAGAGACGTTTGCAGACTGAGTATTTGTTTGCAAAAGCAGTTTTTATAATACTGTGAATATCTGCCAAACTAAGCAAAGTACAGCTCAGCTTGGTCCATCACGTCCACACAAGGAATTGTTCTGCTCTCCTTCTGTAGCCTTCACAGGGCTGCTCAAGGGAGCTCTAGGAAGACAAAAACACAGGAGGAGGATGTGAATGAATTTGGTAGAAATTATAAAATAAAAGGGACCGAGTGGAGAAGGATAGTTGTGGTCTGTGAGATGGCAGAGAGAAAAATTCCCATCTGGTTTCTCGTGGGATAATTTTGCTGGAAGGGGCAGGATAGCTTCCTAAACTATCCCTGAGAAAGTCAAAGTCTCTATTATTTTTAAACACATGAACCCGTGGATAAAAGTTAACTTGTGACCCAAAGTTTTATGTAGGTCTGAGTGTTAATCTGATCATGTGAACAGGAAGTTTAAAGCCACTTTGCTGTGGGGCAGTTTGACATCCTGGAATCACATCATTTGTTATCACATATTCACTGATCCACTACTGTCCTGAAACAAAAACAGCATTCAAGAAACCAAGTGAGCTCGTTTATCTGGTGCTCCAGAGCAAACACTGTCTCTTTTCTACTAAAGGTGTTTCTATCCAGCCAGCCCTTGTGCTACAGTACAAGCTTGGCTGTGGCAATCTCCATGCTTGCTCTCATTGCACTTTTGATTGCAGATTTTTGTAATTGCTTGTTCTTGTGAAAATCAGAGCAGGTATTGAAGAACAGTTGTGTTCACAAATTTAAATACATTTGAACATATATGTATGTGGGGAGTTGCTGCTGTTTGATTCCTCTCTAACCTTACCAGTTAGCTCTTCTTTTTTCCCTCTTTTTTCTCCTTAATCTTTCTTCCCCCCAATTCCCTGGAAGTATTTTCTGCTCCTGAGTGCAGCTTTTGGTAGATCTGCCCATAGTAACTTAGCTGGTCTTGAAGCTGCTGTCAGACAGTGGCTCGTAACTTTCTATTCAGTGATTGATTGCCGCTGTTTAGAATGCAAACCACAGCTTGGGGTGGTTGCTTGTGTGGAGTCCTGCAGGGCAAAAGGAGACCTCCACGGCAGGGATTTCTAGTGTTTTCAATACTTGCTGCTTAAATTGAAGACCTCTGAATACTTTAAAGGCCCGTGTATTTCAGTTGCTTGGCAGAGAGTGAAAGGCTTGCAGGGATGGAAGAGTGAAAGGCTCAGATTATGGCTTTCATGCAGCTGCAGTGAACTTAAACATACGTCACAGATGATGCAGACTTCCAAGTGTGTTAATTACTGCAGGGATGGCAGATTCACAGGAGGATAAGGCTGCAGGTCAAAGATCAAGGACCTGTGTGCCCTCTGGACTCTGGATATTGCTCCTAGAATAATGCTGTAATTAAAATCAGTTGTATTTTTGCCAGCTGCCTCTGGTACCCACAGTATTCTGTTTCAGAAACCACCTTGAACATCACATGATCTGTGACTTTACACAAGACATTTTTTCCCTTTTTTATTTTGAGAAACTTGGAGTTGCAAATGTTTTCAGGGTTTGGGAGAAAAGGCAGAGGGACAGGACGGAGAGTGCTCATAATAAGTACATTGAGTTCTTCCCAGCACAAACTCCTTTGATCAAATGCTATCAGTACCTACCACACTGATGCTTGCCCAGTTCCTAAGCTGGACAGAAGACAGAATTTTACATCAGTCTTATGACTTACTGCCTATTGCAATAATTAGAAACCTCAAATAACATAAAAGCAGTAAATGTTACTTTTCAGATCAGGGTATGTGCTTGTTTACAAAAAGCTGGTCTATTTATATCTGGTGTCTGATGAGGAGTCCTGGAGACTATTTATAGACTGAAACAGAGAAATAGCAAAACACTTCTGTGTAAATGCACATTGCAGATCATGACTGATCCATTAGTGTTTAAACAAAGCATTGGGAGGACAATCAATATAACAATGCTGTGATGGAAAACTTGGTCATTGAGTAGGTAAACTGAACTCACTGCAGTTCTTGCACTAAACCTGCCATAGTCCTTACTCAATTCTGAAAATAATTGTTGAACTCAGGAAGCTGAAGCATTTGTCTCAGAAGACTTTACTTACAAATATAATTTATGGAAGACATTTGTCTGTACCTGTTTGTATTCGTTCTTGCAGGATCTGGCCCCCACCAGCGAGGTTCCCTGGGCTCTGTCAGCTGCTGCTGAGCCCTGCCACGCAACACATCCCCTGCCTTTAACATTTCTAGTTACATCCCCAAAGGAAACAGAAGTGTTATTCCAAGTATATTCTTTGAATTTAGCTACCCTGAAGGAATAAGTGGACTAAAGATCATCCAAACAGCAATTCTGGCTCCTGTTTTTGTGTGCCAGTAGCCTGCTCACTCTGCCTGCAAGCTGGCTGAGTTCAGGGAGTTGTGGGTCAGTACATGCTCCTGTGTGTGAGCTGGGCCCAGGAACAGGAGATCATATTCTTGCATCCTGGGTTGCATGGGGAAAGGGTGGTGATCCCTGTGGCTCCTGCCTCTCTTGGCTGCTGGGGCACTTGCAGCTCCAGGGAAGATCTGGGGGTTGTTGTGTATGGAGGGAGGAGGGGGCTCAGTGCACATCCTCTCTGCCTGCTGATACAGCTGCAGGTCTGGCCTGTGGGATCTGTTCACTCCTTTTGTCTCAGCTGTGCAAAGATCACAGTGTATTCCCTGAGACTCTTTCAGACCTGAGGCTCTGTGTGTTTAGCATTTTGAATTAAGGGTGATGCTTCTGAGTGAAAAGACCAATTTTGGAGCTATGCACAACTTCTTTCCTACTATTCTCAGTTTATTTTAATTCACATTGGTCTGTGTCTAACATATCACAATTGCTAGTTATAAACATACACTCTTCCCCTTGGAGGCTTTTTTGCCATAAGGAAATCTAAGTCAAAATTGTGACATTATTAACAGCCAGGAGAAATCCATAATCTCTCATCAGACTCTGGGTTTTCCCCCTAATGGGTTTCAATTAAAATTTCTTGATGGATTTGGTTTTTTGTTTATCTAAACTTGTTTTATGCTATTTATATAATAAATACTGGAGACTCTGGAGGCTGCAATGGGAATAACATACTCTGAAAATCCAGTATTGCTAAACCTTAGAAAGGAATTTCCCTACAGACATGCAGTCAGAGGATGAAGCAGCAACAATTAAGCAGCCAATGCTGTGAAGAAGCAATCTTTAACTTTTGAGATAATTTAACAGGAAACAGCATTTTCAGTGCCTGCTTCAGGAGTCAGATGACTATTATTAGGGGGTTTTTGTCTTTTTCTA